CAATGAACATTTTGTAGAAAAGCACAAGATGAATGCGGCCGACGTGCAGTTTAACACTGCCGTCAGACTTGACGTCATCTCTCTTGGTGTCGACGTCTGTGTGTTTGTACAACTTGGGCTGTGTCTCACATACTTCAACTCTACCACTCGTTCATCGTCCACAGCCAACACCTGGAAAACATCAGTCAACTACAGTCTACAGTCTTTTGAACCAAATACAATGATGATTATATAACATTCATCTAATCATATCTATTCTAATCAAATCATCATATCTAACCATCACCTGATAAAATTATATACAACTGTATGCAAATATTTTTATCAAGGCTGGGTCCAACTTCTAAAGTTGAGACAATTGGTTTGAAAAGCTATATAATTTTTATACTATGTCATAACTGATATAGTGGTGAGACCCTAAAAGGACTCTTCTATACTGAGAGGTTTAGGTTGTAATCTCAATCTCGCCATCACCATTGGCAGCTTGCTACAAAGATTGATCATCAAATTCAAATTCACTCATATCTGACCAAACAATTGCTTGGACTATAAGTGGGTTTTAAATCTTCAGGTTTACATTCAGCTCTTGCTGTTTATTATTCTTACTTCTTAGGACTTCCTATCTAATGGAACACTTCTCCTTTGTCAAGAATATATTTATTTTGCAAAAAAATCCATAAGAATTTCATTTAATACTGAACCATATCCTTGATGCTTTTTATTCAGATGAAACATTTGACAGTTCATGCAGTTTATGTTTTTCAATTGAGCAGGTAAGAAATCTTCCTCCATAGAAATCTTATATATAAAAATTTGGTTTTTCTTTTCCAAATTCGTTTTGCTCTTCTACCCGGCCGATTTTCATTATTGAGGTCTCAAATTGAAGTTATGTTGCACAGATTTCACATCAAGCACCAGCATATATTTATGTACTGTATTACTCGACCAAAAACATAAAAGTTGATTTATTTTTGAATTCTTAGTTCAATTTGAGATGTATTTCACTAATTATAATTATGCAGTATAATCCTATATATTTTGGTCTAAGAACTTTCAATGAAATACCGGCTTTCATTTAAGCTATTAGTTGTTCAAATCGGACGAGTTTTAAACAAATGCAAGGTGAACAACATAAAATTATTTTTATAAGGTTTTTCTATGATTAAAAATCAATAGCTCCAATATTGTTTATGTTTTCTTTTATATGATTTAGACTCAAAGAAAATAATCAGTAAATGATAGGCTTTAATTTGAGCTACTGATCGTTTGAATCATTTAAGTTCAAGAAACTGTATTACTCAATCAAAAATCATAAATTAGATTATTTCTTGGATATGATATAAAATGCAATGCTGCGGAGCAGCATCACTCTAGTAATTTAATTATAAAATATTATTAAATTATCAATGTGGCCACAAATTGAATTAAGGAGAGCAAATTATTTCTTTTGTGAAAAAATTAGTCCTATAATAAAAGTGTACAGTCAATCAGTTGAACATAGTGCTTAAAGTTTGCAGGTTTAGAACTACATCAACGATTCTACATGACATGTTTATTGTACACATACCACATACCATCAACAAATGAGAACGAAAAGAAGAAAAGTAGCATCAACTCAGTTTGTGCTACTTATAAAAACCTAACTTATTAAATTTTTTATCCCTACAGATAAAAAAAGCTTATTATTTAATAGGTGTTAGTACACTCCTAAATTAAATTTGAAGACCGCTTACCTTGGGGTACAGTGTCATATCTGAGAGGTCGTCAACAGTTATACTGCTCAAGTAGAACTTCAACACCATCCTCTCATTGGCCTTGAACATGCAGTCACTCTCTAGCCCTCCCACCTGATAGACATTCATACAACAATTGTTAGATAAGCTCTATATTTGCTACAGTTGAAAGAAACTGCACAATAATACATCTCCTCACTGAAAAGTTATAACATTTCCCTGATTGAATAGGAAATTCGGTTTCACCTTTATATCCAAAAACTCAAGGTCGGTGTCACACAGCCGCACCCGAAACTGTGACATCCGGGTGGAGTAGCTAAACTTGGTGGCTCCGGGTGGGATGGGTGGATCTACAGGAGTGTGCCACAGTTTGGACTGCAGAGGTGCGTAGAAGTGTTTGGCCCTGGACCACAGATCAATGTCCCTGCTCTGCACTCTGGGGAAACAGGGAAACAGTTATATTTTAATAAAAATTTTATTCTAGCTCCAGATAAACAAATGCCTAGCAGTGGTACAAAGAAAATCGTTATTATAAATCAGTAAGATCTAAATACCCCCGCCGCAGCAAACCTGCAGACTAAGCGAATTTCCATTTGCCTGATTGGATTTACACTAAAATGTCTCCTTAAAAATATCACATTTATTCCCTATTTAAATCAATTTAACACATACTTAGGTTTGCTGCAACAGGGAGGGTAAAAGTGTTTTTTATGTAAAATGGTAATAGTTAGTAAGAAATTAAAACATTTTCCAAATTTGGGCAAAATAATATGTTAATAAACAAGCAAACTACAACAGTTTACTTATTCTCCATAAGAATAACATGGAAATTTTTAATTAACAATTTTTTCGTAACCATTAGGTGCATTATAACGCTTCAATATACTAAATTATTTATTTTTTTAAGCTCTACAAAATAGTTTGCAAATAAATTACAAAATTTTATGTTTTTTGGGTCAAAAATTGGAAAAACCCATTTTTACCCCATAAAAGCCCCCATAAACCCCCGTTCCCATGGTCCGATCATGCTGGTTCGCGAACTCGTTCGAATAAACGTAGGTTTACACGTTTGTACCAAATTTCATCAAAATTGGATAATTTTTGCTCGAGTTATCGCGCTAACGGACACATATATATATATATGAATTTGAACGGATGGTGTTTTGGCCTCTAGGGACCTCAAAACGAAAAAAAAATCGGTCCCGGGTCCAGGTCTTACCATGAGTACTACGGTAATAGCTTATTCCCTATATGGGAAATTCGCTAAAACAAGAATTAAGGGTCAAGTGGCACCTTGATACTGGACAATTTTAGAATTTACAGCTCATGAAAAGAACGGAAGCTGTGTTCTAACTGTAAAAGAAATATATTCATTAGCATCTGGCAAAACACTTAGTTTTTCACATTTAAATATAGTGCCGATTATTGGACGTACACTCTTTAAATCTACTATCCTCCACAAGTTGAATTGGACTATACCACTATTACCCAATGATGAATTAAAATGACTTTTCTTACTTCTGCATGAGGTATTGCAGATATTTGTTGAGAGTCACAAACGCTTCCCGATGAAGGATGACACTGATGGATGAGAAGTCCAGGACCAGAGATTGCTCAACACTGTGAAAGTGGCTCTTGAAGTCTGGGCAGTTGGCTCTTACCTACCATAAAAATTGTTTATTTAGCTATGCAAAGGTTCAAATTAATAAGTTCAATGTCTCTAAACTTCTTTGCCAACATTTTTGGTTACCGTGATTTATGAGGTAAGGATACTACTAAAGCAAATTTTTTACTCAAAAACGAATTAATAAAGATCAGTACCGTAACATGCCTTACTTATCTATGTTACTGACTGATATCATATTTGTCCTAATCTATAACCATTCCGTGAAGGCTCAATGATCAAGGGAAAGCTGAATCCAGTTTCTAAAATCTTGGTAAATCTCTAGAATTAAGCTAATTCTACAACTTTACAACTTTTCCTTATACAGTAGTGTTTTGCCTTGTATAACAAACATCAAACATTCTTACTTACATATAAATTCTGTCATTAGATCATCATCATTGAACATCATCATCACCCACCAATTTTATGGCCACAGCACACACTACTGCAAGCTCGTAATACTGACCTTCCTGTACAGCAGTGAGATGACATCCACTCCAGGTTCAGTAGCTATCAGCTCCAGATACTCCCCCGCCAGGCCCACATGAAGCTTGTCCACCAGCTGTACACTGCCTAGAGACGCCTGCACTGCGGGGCCATACTCCATCAAGGCCACATCACACACTGCCTTGCTCACCCGTAGCATCAAATATGGTTTGTCTATGCGGTTGCTTGAGCGGCATAGTTGAACTACAACCTGCAGCAAAAAGGTATAATAGTTATAAAATGATTTCTCTGAATTAGACCCATGCTTGAGAACAACACTTGAAGATAGGCGTTTTACTATCGTAACAAAAAAATTAGATTGGTTTTTTCAACCCAGCAGACAAACCCTATTGACACCGACATAATGAAAATGTGAGAAGGCTGACTAGTAAGGGTTTGTGAGCTTCCGATATTTTCTGTTTAAGTTGGATCAACAGTTGGCTCAAGGAATAGTTTTGGGTTCGAAATGATTTTCAAGCCTTAGAGATGTACGAGCGGCTTGATTTTTGTGGTGAGCCACGCAGAGCAGAGCTTGTATTCTTGTGATTGCAAAAAGTGTCTCCAAAGAGATGCGATCAAAAGTTGACTTTCACTATGGTTGCAGGTGATGTTGATGGTTTTGCTGTCATAGCAAAAGATGATGATTATGTCTCCGTGCCTGTAGAAGATGTTTAAGATTTTGCTGTAACCTCGGAATATGTTCACAATTTTTGCAGTGATTGCGGAAGATTTTTCAACTTTGCCATGACCATTGTAGATTTCTCAAATTTGCCGTGACGACAGAAGAGGTTTTGATTTTACCATGACCTAGAGAAGTGTTTACATTTTTGCAATGAACGACAATGAAGATGTTAAGGATTATGGGGTGACTGCAGAAGATGTACATGGTTTCAGCGAGTCATATTGTACAATTTTGCATTACCCAATTATTATTGTAGTTACACAACTAATATTTTTTTTATAAATACTTTTCCATGCATCCTGGTTTTACCCAGCCCGATTTTATCCTGCCCGATATTGGTCTGAGACCCAAATGCCAAAACTGTTTACCCAACCTGGAGTAAAAAGGGCTGGCTCCTAAGTCCCTGTTGGTAAGTATGTAACCTTTATTGAATTATTGTTTGAGAAGTACAAAGGGTAGTTTCATTTTTTTTTCAAAGACTTTTTTAACAAGTCAATTTCATAATGTGTTATGTTAATGTGTTTATTTCATATTTATTTTATACTTAGAATTACAATTATGCAGCTTACAAACCTAGTCATTTCAACCTTAAAAGTAGTTAATTAACATTATCTATCATATGCAATTTTGTAAAAACGTTTTTGTCATCTTTTTTAATAATAAGAAATCAAATCTTCTATCCCAAACTGTAAATAAATCTGTGAATCAAATAAATTATTTTACCAACGACCGTATTTGAAACTAGCCTTTTCAGTTCAGTTCATAGAATTTAAAAGATTCACTTCACAGCATTGTTTACTTACTTTACAACACTAGTAACGGACCAATGAGGTTCAAGGATTGAGAGAAAAGCAGTAAAATTGTAATGCTTCGATCATTGACTTATCAGCTGTTAAGACCAAATAATTGTTTATTGGTGCAATGAGTGATTGCATTACTATCAGTGGCAATGAGAGGTTATAAACGAAAAAATAACCTCTCTTAGAAGTTATGAGTAGCGATTGTTAGTAATAAAAAATGGTCATAGGTAAAGTAGTGTACGCAACTCGCATAAATAGTCTTAACAACAGGAGTAGAAATTTAAGGCACGAGCATTCGTGATCGTTGCGTAAACTAAGGAAGTGTCAATATGACACTTAACATAACATCTGAAAAGTTAACGGTTCTAAATACCGTCAAATTAACAACAGAGTGTGATGGGTTCACAAGGGCATAAGTGACAACCGCTAGGAGATTCTGTACTAGGTCTCAAGCAAACTGGGAATACTATGAAGTAAGTTGAGTTAAATATGTTAAAACTACCTATTTATTTATAGACTGATAAAAGCACTTTATTTTATTTTTTCCTATTGCAGCAAAGAAAGTTTTACCAACCTCAAAGATTTAGACACCAAATAAATACCCTTCAACGCAGAAATAACCTTGAAAAATATTTGATACAAGAAAGGGAACAATGTAAAGTAGAATTATAGATAACACTTAAGTATTTTTGTTTAAGCAGCAAATGTTTCTTGTTACTAGACTAAGGTGAAATTGTAATACTTGTTTGCTTAATTTAGAGAAAAACATATAAACAAGATAAGCAGGGTAAAAGTAATGCATCTACCGCAAACATCTAGTATCTTACTGGGAGCAGCAACTGACGAAGATGAAATACCTGATGATTTTGCTGTTCTTGATAGCAAGCGTAAGTTACCTCTTAATTCTCAGGTTTTTAATACAGTAGTATAAGATGCAAAACAAAATAGTAATATTTTAATTTTAGGGCATAACATTTCTTAATAATCATTCTTTTAAGATAAACTTTTCCTTAATTTACATTTTTCACTGTAGTCAACACTTAACACAGTACTTTCTTACAAATGTCTCTTTCCAATGTGTGTTTAATAATCATATTCTCAATGCTTCACATTATAATTAAAAGAAATCAGAGGTATGTTTTCATTGATAGACTGGGTGGGATGACACATAAAGCTAAATTCTATGAATTGTTTACCTTCTTTTTTTCATTTTTTTACGGGGTGGAAAATCCTGTCAAGAATATAAAAATATATGTAATTAATATTATTATTTCCCCTTGTGTGTAGGGGAAAATTATGTTGTTTTTGTACCAGGGTGCACTTTTTCAATCCAGGTAAGAGTTCTTAACCTTAAAAGCTTGGTTTGGCGTGTTGTACAAAAGGCTGCCCATATAATAAGGTCTTCATTGAAACAAAACAAAAACAAATTAATGTAAACAAAGTCATAAATAAAAGAAATTAGGAAACAGTTGGTTGAACACAGCAGTAAGCTCTTTACTTGTCCCACCCTTGTACAACGATTATTTATCTCGTCATTGTAGCCAAAAACGATGTGAATAAAAACTGATGTTCCTACCAAGTATGAAATGTGTTCTGTTATTAAGTTTCTGTAGGAAGGGATTCATTTCCATTTGCCATTTGCCAGGTGGGAAACTATCAGACAACACTTATAAAATTTATAAACAAAAATAGTTTAAATATGAGTTGATGATGAGTGTGTAGAAAGAAGCGAGATGCTTTGTACCAGCCGTTCCTTTCTCAAGGATCATTTTTTAAATCCCAATCATCATAGACAGCTGGGTCCAGTTTTGTACCCTCAAAAAGACTCCGTTTTCTGATCAAACAGGCAATATTTTCATTGTTATGCAAGCACTATACTCACTTGGCTATCCAGCTAATACATGATATAACTAACTATGCATTTGCTCAAATGTGTAAGGTAAAGAACCTTTTTCTTCTTTCTTCTTTTGTCTCTACATTTGCCATGTGTGCTCCTCAGGCACTGTTGACGTTTGCTCAGCTAGAGGCCAGCATCTCCTGTGTCACCTGCACCTCCTACACTCTGACCATCAACAACTCCTCCACCAGCACACTACTGTCCTGTCCTGTAGGCACTGTGTGTGGAGACTCAGACAACGCCACTTCAGTCTGCTCCGCCACCAACGAGTGTGACCGCGTCGTCTGCGACCACTACGCCGTGTTCCCCTCCTCCTCCAGTTGTCGGCAGTACCATGTCTGCCGATACATCAGAGGTTACGGCACATTCGCCCTCTCGACCTACACGTGTCCTGGAAATTCCAGGTTTGACTCCGTAATCAACAAGTGCACACTGAATACTGCTCGCTGTTACAATGCTACTGCCTCAAATGGTTAAAGAATCAGTGGAATATACGAAAACTTTGATTTGTAAGATATGGTTATGTTATGTGATAAGTCTCACTATTCTGGTGCATTTGTATATTGCCTTAAAGAAAATGTCTTTTTTAAGTAAACTTTTTATTCAAACGTTTTTATCATTGCAATTCTTGTTCTCCACTGTGACTTTAGGTTAATTTCAAGTAATTGTGCTATATTAAAAATAATTTTTTTCTATTATACGGATATAAGAATTTCAAACCTTAAATCTCACCAGTAACTACTAATCCAAGACTGGTGTCAGTTGTTAAGATCGCGCCACTCATCCTACATTCATCTCATTACATACTTGGCTTAAAATACCTACATTAGTATGATCACCATTTCATAAGAAAGTATTCAAATGTATTAAATTGTTAAGTAAGTTTTTCATTCTTTAAAGATGACATTTCTTATTTATTTACACTGCTATGTCCAAAATACAAACTAACAAAGTTCTGCAAAAAAACACAAAACTTGATGGAGAAAATTGCAAGTCACAAAATAGTTTCAGCAAACATTTAAACCAGGCCTGTGTATATATAACCTGAAATGTAGCCTAGGCCTAAAGTTTAAAAAGGCACTTTTTTAACATCTTTCTTCATTCAGTTGAAACAACTCCACAATTTACAACAACAAAAATGCTTGTCACGTCAGATAATCCACACAAGTTTTAGAATCATAGGCTACTCAAACATCAAGTCAAGATATTTCTTAGACAACTATACAACCTCTCCAATGACGAATCTGAGCAGCATCGTGATGGCGTTGTTTGGGGACACATTGTCGTCGAAGCCAGGAAGATCAACAGTTCTCGCCCACAACTCCATCTCCTCATCACTGTGCTCTGATGATATAAAGCTCCTGCAAAAGTGTTAGATAGGATAAAAAATCAGTCATATTTTAATTTTAAACTATGCTTACAATGAATTTGTGCGGTAATTATATATTTTTCTAATTAATTTAATACTTAGTACCTAAAATATTACTTAAAAATTGCAAATTTGTTTCTCAGATCTTTCAAACTAAAATAATATAAGTTTGATTTTAATTTGAAAGCAATATAATAACAATAGATTATCTGCTAAGTATAGCAGTGCTAGTGCTAACTGTATCCGTATAGACATCTATTTTGTACCAGTGGACCCACACATAGACACCTCAGGACCAGAATTTTGCTTTCAATAAAAAGACAACTCCAAGAATTGAACACAAAAACAAAAGCAAAAAGCATGCCTCATAACGATAAATTGTGTATGCAGTTTTTTTTTCTAGGACGCTAGGCACGAGCCCGGAATTGTTTTTCACATTTACTTCAGGCCAGACCTAGGGGATACGGCATTATCACTTAGATAAAATCCATTGGTGATTTGGCAGGATTTGAACCCGGGACCCCAGCAACCGGAGTCCCGCGCTCTAACCACTAGATCAGCTTACTCCCCCATTCTGTATGTAGTGGTACAGAACTAAGTAAAATAGTAACGAAAAACAGCAATAAAACATGTATATCATACCAAACATCACTAAACTTTGAGTGCAGCTTGTTTGTTAACATAGGTAGGCCTATGGATAGAGTGGTGCCTGTATTTGGAAAATGAGGCATACTCAAATCAAATTATCTATTTTCAAAATGAGGGGGAGTCCCTTGTTCTGTAATCTAGGATAGTTACAGCATAAAAATTCTATGTTAACTTGATGTTTTATTTTAGCTCTGAATTGTCATACTCACTTATCTACCTCCAGCATGGCCATTTTAGCAGCAGCCTTGTCAGACGAAGGCAAAGGTTTGTTCTTGAGGGTCATCTCTGCAGCCACAAGAATGGCTTTGATCTCTGCGAGTCTCTGAGCAGAGTACTGCACATCTCCTACAGACATAAGCATTTATTTTGTTAATTCTAAATTTAAGTGTAGGTTGCATTAAGAATTACTTAATGTCTCTTATTGAAAAATGCTTGTGTCAATTTAGTGGTTGGGAGAAAATAACAGACAACACTAGTCTTCAGTGCTAGTGGTAATGTTACAAATTTTCTGATCAAGTGTTGCTAAATAATTTTATCCTTTCAGTGCTATGTGGCGATTTATTGTTGTGCATACTTTTCCTGTAAAGTGCTATGGAACGATATATTGTTGTGTTCGTTTCATCCGAAAAGTGCAAAGCGACGATATATCGTGCCGACCCGACTTTCAATCGTGTTAGTCTTAAGGCATATTGGTTGACTCGGTTATTCTTTCGAAACTGCGAAGATTCCTTTTGATTCCTTATATGATTGAGGCCCAATAAATCGTTCCTTAGCACTTTTGAGATCAACAATTTTATTTATACAATTATTTTTTCTAGCGCACTTGACTTTGCTCCTGCAGCAAGCCTAGCTTTTTTTGGATGAAATGAGTAAATAGCTCTGGCATTTTTCAGAAAATAACAGAAAAATCTTCTAGCACCAAAAGGGTTAAGCAAACTGGAATCTCCCTTAATGTTAGGTACTTGTACACAAATCTGTACACAAGGCCATGTGTAATCTTAATGTACAACAATTCCTTCCATCAGAATTAACCAACTACAGTCTACTAAACCAAATTTTAATAGCCAATTGTCACGAGACGAGTTGAACAACTTCTGCACAGATCATGTTCCTTATTTAATGCTCATTATAGTTGTGCTGCTAAAACGTATGCACGCCACCACTAGAAAACTATAGGAGTGTTTCAAGCCTAAACTTCGGCGTCTTGGACTTCAGTTCTTGAGGGACGGATTTGATACCCAGCATATCCAAAAAAATTTAGGGATTTTAGCTGCTTTCCTCTATAAGTGTTGGAGTTACTTTAATTTAATAGTAAATATCACTAACAAAGACCCTAAGTATCAAATATCTTATTCCCTATAGGGGAAATTCGCTAAAATTTCACAAATGAAACAGTGTATCAATTACCTTGAGGGGTGTAGTTGAAGGGCTGCAGGGAAGTGGAAGACACAGATACATGTACAGTGTTGGCAGAAGGGAGAGGCAGATTGTCAATAAAATCTAGAACACTTCCGATCTTGCGATCTGACAGGTTCAGCTTCAAACTAGTGAGGCTCACGTTCAGCTTGTGCCTGTGGGAAAAGCAGACAACCAGTAATCTGGTATCTAGGGTTATTTGTTTAAGGCTTAACCATGATAGCACTAACTGGAAAAACTGAGAGAGGTGTAATTAGTGGTAAACAACATAGCTAGTATCTAACCTGGGCAGCTGTCTGTACTCCGGCCTCACACTGTTAGAGAACACAACTTGACATTGGACCTTGGGCAGCAAGTGGTAGTCGGAGTCTAACTGCTTCTTGGCATCCCTCCACTCCTCACCTGTAGACAAGGCACCACACAGTGATTACTGATGAAGTAGTAGTCTTCTAATCAAAAACACTTTCTATCAAGCTACTTTGTAAGGATCAGTGTATGCAGAAAAAGCATGACAACACAGCAAAAGAGTTTTTTAAGGGATGAGTTTCCACATAGTCACTATCCCTAAAACTCTGTATAGTATTGTCTCGATCTTTCCCTCACTCACTTTGACACTAGTAGTTATATCGTGAGCAAAAGAATAAACTGTTTCAGCAATAAACAAATGTCAGACTGACCTGAGTCACAGAAAAGCACTTGCAGTTCGGAGAAGTCTATGTGGAAGCGATCGTACAGTCGTTCTTCCAACTCCATCTGTGTGGCGTCCTCCAAGTTGATGTTGCTCGGCTGCAACTCACTGGTCACTCTAATGTGGCCGAGGTCTACCACAGCCATGTTGCCACCCCTGCAAAACATCAGAGGAATTAAAAACTTACACTTTTTCAGTCATGATTCCAGATAAATTTTTTTGCCCCTACATGTTGTGGAAAAGCCAAGGATTGAAGAAGTTATTCTCGCATCAAGGTGACAAAGTTCAGATAAATAAACAAAATAGTTGCATTACAAATCTACACAGCTACATTTAGGTTATGTTTTCCCTGTCGGCAGATTAACAGATATGCATCAAATTTATTTTGATTTTTATCAATCCTAGTATAGACACAACCAACCAATATGTTAGAATTTTTAACAAATAAAACAAACTAAAACACATGTCATTTAATTTTTTACAACAAGCCTACATTATTATTCAACTAGCTGTCATACACGTGCTTCACAACAGGAAGAGAACGCTAAAAAGAATAATTATTATGTTCCATAGATGCTATATGTGGATAAACTTTTAGTAATCCACTAAAATTATTAACTGGCTACTCCGTTTCCCAAACATTATTTTTGGGGAAATAAAGCATACAAACACAATAGATTTTTATAAACAAACTAGCAGAGTACCCGTCCTTCGTACGGGGTTGGCATATAAGTATCAAATGCTTATAGCAGTTATGAGTGAGGACATGGTTTAAGAAATTTCGGTTCTTTTTGAAGTTCGTTCGCTACGCTCACTCACCTTTAGGTTGGAGCTCGTTCGCTGCGCTCACTTTCCTTCAGGTTAGCTCGTTCGCTACGCTCACTTGCCTTCAGGTTAGCTCGTTCGCTACGCTCACTCGCCTCCAGGTTGAAGTTCGTTCGCTACACTCACTCACCTTTTGCTGTTGTCATAAATGTAAAAGAAATAATAGTGCTAGTGCTGCACCCTGTTGGTAATCCTTGTAACTTTAATGCTATTGAACATCACAGAACAGAACCAACTTGTTTAATTGAAACAGCTGTTAAGATTCAATAATTTCATTTCTCATAAGGTTAACATGGGAAACTCCAGAGCCACTGGGGCGGAGCCCGAAAGGATTTTTGGGATAAAAATATGCCTATATGTTAATCGGGAATGTGAGCTATCATCATGCCAAATTTCAGCCCGATCCGACCAGTAGTTTTCGCGTTTACTTTTCCCATACACACACACAGACACCACCTCTTTTTTATAATAGTATAGATGGGAAAAAAAGAAAGTCAATAAGTTAATGAACTGTGTACTTAAAAAATCAAACACTTTATTCGCACAGTATCAAAAATTATTTATTAAATAAAAAATAAAATACCTCCGCCGCAGCAAACCTGCAGACTAAGCGAATTTCCATTTGACTGATTGGATTTACACTGAAATGTTGACTTAAAAATATAACATTTATTCCCGATTTCAATAGAATTAGTTTAACAAGTACTTAGGTTTGCTGCATCAGGGAGGGTAAAACTGTTTTTTTTTTAAATGTTAATAGTTAGTAAGAAATAAAAACATTTTCCAAATTTGATCAAAATATGTTCATAAACAAGCAAACTACAACAGTTTACTTATTCTCCATAAGAATAACATGGGAATTTTAAATTTACAATTTTTTGGAATTTTCTCCGTAACCATTAGGCGCATAATAACGCTTCAATATACTAAATTATTTGTTTTTTTAAGCTCTACAAAATGGTTTGGAAAGAAATTGCTAAATTTTATGATTTTTGCATCAAAAATGGGAAAAACCAATTTTTACCCCATAAAACCCCCCGTAAACCCCCGTTCCCATGATCCGATCATGCTGGATCGCGAACTCGTTCGAATAATCGTAGGTTTACACGTTTGTACCAAATTTCATCAAAATCGGATCATTTTTGCTCGAGTTATCGTGCTGACGGACACATATATATATATATATATATATATACACGGCCGCGCCCGGGAAGCCAGTCACATAAAATATACACTGGAAGTCAGTCAGTTGCACCCCCCAATATATTTCAAGACTATGATATATATATAATATATATTGGTAAATATCTTAAGCCTAGACATATCTGAACGTATATATCTCTTTTTTTCTTAAAAATACTAAAATATAATTACGTAAAAAATGCTATGCTAATGCAGTCACCTCCGCATTTGCATGGGAAAGCCAGTCACGTAAAATTTGTGCTGCTAAGCCAGTCACTATATATTTTACCGCATACCACTGGAATCCAGTCACTGAAAATCCACCGGGTATCCCGTCACTTCAGTCACTTTCACCCCTGCCCTTCTACTTTGTGATATTTATTTGTTCTACAAGCTTGAAAATCCGCACCTCAAACAAACGGATTATGCTTCAGGTATTGAGCACTCTCATAACCAATCTTTCGCACTTCATTTTAATTAGTTGTCTTCCAGATTACTTAGCAATTACTATTCTACAGATTAAATACCTAAAAGCCAATGTAATCTTTGGTCGTCTTAATGGTCGTCCTGCCAACTGTGGATACAAATATGTACCGAACTAATTCGCAAGCGCAAGGTGGGAAGTTATTGCTTTAAAAGTCGCACAATTAGGCCTATTGTTGAGTCCTTGGAGACAAGCGGCCATCTTGGATGATTTCAAATAGCTGCAAAATGTATCGTCCAAAAATATTTTTCAAACACCAAAGTGTTTATAATTTAAATAGCTAGTATACTGTGGGATTAGAAATGTTCTTTGTAGTTTTGAATTATTCTCCAAGGGATTCCATAAAATAAGCTAACGGTCACGGTCATCTTGGAAAAAGGCCAACTAATACGAAAACAATATCTTGTGTTGCGCGGGCCGTAGCACACAAATAGTTTTCCTGCCCCAAACAATCAAAGGCGCGTGGAACAAGGCAAAATTCTTGTCCCTCTTGTGGCGAGAGGTCGGGGCGGGCCTAACGGGTTCCATTGATGGGCTTCCCGACTACCGACCGACCTGGGGTAGCGACTAGCGAGCCAGTGGATGGTTAAAGGTTCGGCCGGTTATTTCCATCTTATTGCTGGTTCTCGAACTTTTTGAGCTCGTTGCACAGTGAAATCTTACTTCCCTATTTTATATAGCCACAATCAAAGCGATTTTTACAAGAAAGAATGAAAATATAGACTCAGTGATGTGTGGTTACTTAATCAAATCATGTTACTTGATTGTTTACCCTTTTGTAAGAGCCAATAATCAATCACCTTTACTTCTTTATTTTTTGATTTATTATCTATATAAATTCAAGAGGTAGCCCTGTAACGGTTAACACATATACCGATTACTTTTAACATGTTTTCTTTGAGTTACGCCCCATGGGATTCCAAAGTTTCACAATGTTTACATTTTTGAACAAATCAGATAACAGAATGTTAAACGAAGTCAGCTGTAAATGCTGTCAATGCAGTGCTTTGATTTTGCTGTCCAAAAGGTAGAAACTATTCGAATTGTGAAACTTTTAACTTTTGCTACGGGCCTGTTAATTGGAGATTGTGACTTTCTTAATTTAAGGAAGTAAACGTATTAACATGTCGTGTTTGGAGTGGAATTTGAAATATGTGACGTGTATCAAACTTTTTCTCTTTAAAATCCTCTCCAATGTAAAACACAGGTACGGCAGCTAGGTTTATTAGAATTCCAAAGTTTTTTTATGATTAAAATTGTCCTCCAATGTTTAGAAATTATTTTTCGATCAAGTTGTTTAATGAATAAATAATTGTTTTGCCAAATTATGTTTCGAAACCAAGAACTAAAAATAGATCAGGAAATAGATATTTTAGATCAGAAAACAAAGCCAATCAAATAGGCCTGCGTACTTTTTAAATAAAAACACTGGTCGGATGGTTTTTAACTTTGTTGTTTATTTACTTCAATAAATTTCTAATAAAAATCACCACAAGTACTAATCCATATAAATAAAATTAGAGTTTTGTCTGTACATTGCTCAGAATCATCAATTTTTAGATTATTTTTACGTTTTATACGTTCAAGAATCCGAAACAAGTTTCATCTCAATTATTCCGTTAACATCTCAATCATCAATTATTATCTCAATTCCGTTGTTGTCTGTCTTTTTACGTGACCTTCTCCTGAAAAACGAGAGTAACTATCAAGATCCTCGAATCATTTTAATGTATTCACTGGATTAGCGAAAGTGTCTTTAGCTATTAAAATATGGCCTCACTACTTTGTAAAAAAACTTACGGACGTTTAAAACCCCAATTTTGTGCGATTTTTGTCAAGTTTTCTCACAATGTCTTCTCACAATGTTTTCACATAATCATCTATGAAATTGTGAACAGCTGTTCGGATCAAGATTATTTTTCTCTAGCTGTCACTGATATGTTTACATAGAATGTTGTTTACAAATACCACAATCATTTCAGATCACGTTTCAAAAGCAAATCCAAACCAAGTTGGTTAAAAACCGTTTTTCCTTACACGACGGATTTAATTAATCGCAAGTGCAATAATGTGTAGGGTAACGGTAAATGAAAATAGAGCTTCTTTGTGTATACAATTTCTATTGAGTTTTGATAACCGGGGAAAAGACCTTGACTCGGTGTTCTATGTGCCTGGGAAACTTACATTTTTTACATAAGCGTTACCAATAGCTTACATAAAAGGTTTCAACTCGTTGATGGCACTTCATTGGTGGTTGTGCAAAGTGTTAAGAGACAACTGCAGTGGGTGATTGTAACAGAGGTTTACGGATTATGCTCAAATCGTATTTTCAATGTGTCTTCTCAGCGCTATGTGCTGGACCATACAGCCAATAGACCAATTGCCCATATCTTGGGTTCGCAGGCCTAAACAAATTATTCATAAGTTGGTAGCGCATATTACTCAGTGTTCCGTACGGACAGGACAAGAACACCTTTGATAGTGAAATTTTCAACCTGAATGTTTAATTGCGAGGTTGAGGTATAGTATTTTAACTATATATCGTTTGGTTAGTTAGGTAAGGTTAACCTAACCTAACTAACCAAACGATATATCAAATTAAACAAGCGAATAATCAATATTACTCATTTGGTTGTTTGTGCCAACAGATATGGAAGTGTACCCC